AAAAGGTTGGCTCATATAAAAAATTATAATCTGAAACATCTGAATGTTCCTATGGCAAGTTGCTCATGATACAAAAGCACACAGGAAGCAAGGGGGTAAGATGCCCTTCTGGCTTCTATCCACTCCAGGCACAGACTTCCCAAGAAGGATGGCAGACAAAATAACCTCTACTATTTGTATTACCTTTCTCCTTTTTATTTTTTGGAGTGTGTTACAGATTAATACACATGAACTAAAGACCCACAGTTAAGTGTGAATGAACTGAAGTTGCTCCTCAGAGCCTATAGTTAAAGGCATGCTCTGTCACCATACTTGCCAGGGAGCTGCATTTCCAGAATCCACAATGATGTACACACACATTGAATAATCAGAACAACTTAGTCGACACCTCATTATTTTACAAGTGAACAAACCTAGGACTACAGAGAAGAGGTGATAAGTTTAAGTTACCATTAAAGCTGAAACCCTGGCCTCTGATTTATGTCCTATCTAATGCTGGTGGTACCTAGATGTAAGATCAAGCCTCTACTGTATACATGGTACAATACACTCTGACACATGCCATAAAGAAAAACAATGCTATTGTCAGATGAATTCATGAATTCAAAGTACATGGAATCACTATGGAGAGATAACTAACTTTGCCTAAAGTATACGGGGGAAGCACCATAAACGAAGAGACATTTGAGTTGGATCCTAAAGAATGACTACTATTTCTTCAGAGAGAGAGCTCTCCAGTGCTTTCTACACTTGCTATGGCCTGAACAAGCACTTATAGCAAGTTATATAAGGCTGGTGTGCACTCTGGATAAGTAAATCTTTAGGTCTTTAAACAAATATTTCCACCACACTGCATATATATTGGCTCAGAAATAATACAAAGGAAATGGCAAATGAATATAACATGATTCTCTGGAATGTAACATTTCTAGTTGTAAATCAACTTTTTAAATAAAAGAAATTGGCTGTCAATTATGAGAACTTCAAGGTAGCACAAGGAACTCATCATGCCTGTGCAGT